ATCATGATCAAAAGAGATTTCAATATTTCTAAAAATATTTTTTTTTACTTTATAGCATATTATGAACTCTGACTTTGATGAATCACGCTTGCCAGAGAACTTTTGAGTGATCTGCTTTATAATCTTTCTAATCACTTAAACCATCAACTTCACTCTTCTGGATGCTATTTCAAAACGATCATCTGTGCATTAGGGAAAAAATGGTCAGCCAAAACTTTCAGTAAATTTTTTGTCACCCAATTATCATTCCATGATCAAATCCATTGCGGTGGATCTTAATCAATTAATATTAAAATGAAAAAGAAAGACAAACAATGAGAATGTTAAAGGCAAAGTAAATGGGTAAGCAAGCAACACCAGTGACAAAAACATAAAGAAAACTTACGATTAAAAAACAGAGAGAGAATTTACATTGCATATTATTATCGACAGACAAGTCAAAATTTTTAAGTTCACAAAACTGCATATCAGAGTAACATAAACAAAGTAATTGACAGAATATTAGCAGTACCATAACCTTTGTTCTTTTCGGTGAAGACACCTTTTTAGGCGATATATCAGCAAGTCCATCTGGTTGCTGGAAGCAAGAAAGAGTGACTCTTAGCAGAATTGGATAAAGAAAAGGAATAGAACATTTAACAAGCAAAGCAGGATTAAACAACACCTTATAATTAGGAGTTTATCAAGCCCTATTTGTTTATATAAATACATATGCATACACACACACACACACACACACATCACACACACACCCACATATATATAAATATATATACATATGTATATATATATGTATATATATATGTATATATATATATATGTATATATACATATATATATATGTACATATATGTACATATATATACATATATATATACATATGCATATATATATATGTATATATATTTATATGTATATGAATATATGTACATACATGTACATATATACATACACAAACATTTAATATATATATATATATATACATATATATAATTTGCATATATGTAAATTTACTTATTAATACATATATAAACGACACCTCTAAATCAAGGGCAGTAGATCCATTATACTTATTTGTTCTTAATGTACTTAAAAGGTTTATCTCAGCACACAATTGCTCAAGATAAAAAGTTAAAAACTGAGGATACAGTTCTATTGTTTTGAGACTGAATTAAAACTACACGTCCCTGTCAGGACAGCAGAAAATCACCACTAACTTCAATGAATTAAGTCAAATTAACTACACCAGAACATAATGTCACATGAAACTTGCCCTTGAATTGAGCATATGGTTGCTATTAAACTAACAATGAAGCAGCAACAGAAACTGTTGCAATGTACATGGACATCTAGTTCCACTAACATCATTAAAAATCCAGTAAAACTATGTAAGCTGCTGCATGTTGATTTATTTTTTTTTACTATTAGAGCACCATCATGATCAAAAAAGATTTCAATATTTCTAAAAATATTTTTTTTACTTTATAGCATATTATGAACTCTGACTTTGATGAATCACGCTTGCCAGAGAACTTTTGAGTGATCTGCTTTATAATCTTTCTAATCACTTAAACCATCAACTTCACTCTTCTGGATGCTATTTCAAAACGATCATCTGTGCATTAGGGAAAAAATGGTCAGCCAAAAGTTTTACATAAAAAGACTAAAATCCCAAACCTGAAGCCTTGCTGACATCATACAACTTTCAGTAAATTTTTTGTCACCCAATTATCATTCCATGATCAAATCCATTGCGGTGGATCTTAATCAATTAATATTAAAATGAAAAAGAAAGACAAACAATGAGAATGTTAAAAGCAAAGTAAATGGGTAAGCAAGCAACACCAGTGACAAAAACATAAAGAAAACTTACGATTAAAAAACAGAGA